AACCTCGATTGTAAAAACAATATGCCCTCTTGGCATTATGCACCATGGTTCCTTCTGTACGCTATAATTAAGATGAGTGCAGTTCTATATTTTGATAATAACATGGTCTAATCTCTTAGGGGTATTGGGGTACTAGGGAACTGTAAAGGCCTGAAAACATTTCCATTTAGAGCTGAGACCAAATTTCTCAGAACGTTTCAGAGAAAATTGTTGATATTTTTTCTTTTCCTAACTCCTCTAGAAAAAAGGTCACTTTGCATAATTATCTGTGAACATTCTTAACCATTTTCCTGGTTATTCCCAAGGCTTTCTTCATTTCGGCATACTAATGTTGGGGGGGGGGAGTAGGTGTTTGCAATTGCTAAACAACTGGTGAGTCAGAAATCTCAGGTGATCTGCTGCAAATCAGTCAGAGACATTCCAGTAGATTCTGATCTACCTTCTGCTCACCCCTGTCTTGATGAGGTCTTTTTGTTTTATAAACCAGGAGGTTGCACTACATTTAGGATTATGATGGAGGGGGGTTAGGGTGGGAGAGGATATAAAAACATTTAAAGGTTGGGATGATCCTTTGGGTACTCATAAAGATCAGCCAAATACACGTCTGAGGAGAACCGCAGAAGAGAAACCATCTGTTCCAAGGTGACCAGTACATTACTAAGGAATAGGTACCTCCAAAATCTGCTTCTCATCACCCCATAACTGTCACACATGACAAACTCACTTCCTACTGAAGAGTTAATAATACAAGAGAAAAATACTGACTTGAAAATCTGTATCCATTGGATGTTAAAGGTATGGTGGAGTTTAGAGATAAGGGAACCACACCTTAAGGCAACAGCAGATTCAGAAAGCAGCAGGCTAAATCTCAGGCAGTAACCTTCCATCTACCCTTTAGTGCTCACAAGTATTTATCACATTATTTTGCAGTGTTTATAATCAGTTCACATCATCCTTCCTTCCTTAATCTGGGTTCTTTTTAACCAAAATTGATTGAGAGAGAGAGAGAGGAGAAGTGTATATATATAGAGAGAGAGGTGTATATATATATAGAGGTATATATATGTGTGTATGAAAGTATGTAGACCAGTGGAGGAGAGGGCTTACACAGGCTTCCTCAACCTTGGCCCTCCAGATGTTTTGAGACTATAATTCCCATCATCCTTGACCACTGGTCCTGCTAGCTAGGGATCATGAGAGTTGTAGGCCAAAAACATTTGGAGGGCCGAGGTTGAGGGAGCCTGGCTTATCACCTCCTTCCTGCTGGTCAAACTATCTAATGACCAGGATTGGGGCAATTTCCAACCTCATCAGGGCATTGACCTTTTCCCGATTGTCACATTCCCACTGCAACTTGACCCCAGCCTTCTCTTCTGCAGAGTATGATTCAACATAATCCCAACTCAACCATAAAGCACGGTAGGTGACCATAGCCCAGTCACTCTCTGTTTCAGCCTAACCTACTACACAGGGTTGTTGTGACGATAAAATGGGGAGGAAGAGAAATATGTATACCACCTGGAGTTCCCTGAAGGGGGGGAGAGGTTTCACTGTTTCCAATGACTTGATTCTAATATAAACGTAATGGTAACTAAACGAACAAAATCCATCCGATGAGCAGAGATCTGAAACACCCAGCATGGAGTGGGTGCAGGGAGAAGCTCTGTAAAAGTACATTGCAACAGAAAGGCAGGGGGAAGAGGAAGGCCCATCCTTGTAAGAACATAAGAGCCTGCTGGATCAGGCCAATGGGCCATGTAGTCCAGCATGCTGTTCTCACACTGGCCAATTGGATGGCTGTGGGAAATCTGCAAGCAGGACCCCCACACAAGAGCCCTCTCCCCTCCTGCAGTTTCCAGCAACAGGCATCCAAAAGCACTGCTGCCTTTGATTGAGGAGGCAGAGCTGGCCCATACTGGCTAGAATATGGTTACCAGATTTTTTTTCAATGAATCCGGGGACACTTTTCAACTTCCTACTAAATAGATGGATTTTATCAAGGGGACTGATTTGTAAATACGGGGACTGTCCCCAGGAAACGGGGACGTCTGGTAACCTTAGGCTGGAAACCATCAACAGCCTTAAAGGTAAAGGGACCCCTGACCATTAGGTCCAGTCGTGACTGACTCTGGGGTTGTGGCACTCATCTCGCTTTATTGGCTGAGGGAGCCGGCGTACAGCCTCCGGGTCATGTGGCCAGCATGACTAAGCCGCTTCTGGCAAACCAGAGCAGCACACAGAAACGCCGTTTACCTTCCCGCCAGAGTGGTACCTATTTATCTACTTGCACTTTGATGTGCTTTTGAACTGCTAGGTTGGCAGGAGCAGGGACCGAACAACGGGAGCTCACCCCGTCGTGGGGATTCGAACCACCGACCTTCTGATCGGCAAGCCCTAGGCTCTGTGGTTTAACCCACAGCGCCACCCGTGTCCCTATCGACAGCCTTACACTCCATGAAATCATCAGCACTTCACTACTACAAAACTCCTTTCTCGGTTGCCTTGACTAAAAGAAGCAGCTGGCAGGGTTTTATTAAGCACATCTGTGTGCAACATGCAGTTTAGGTCTATACGTTCCAGTAATCAGCATAAATTGAAAGTGTATCTCATGCGTACATCAGCAAGCCTTCCTATTTAACTGCTACAACTTCATCTGAATGAGACACAAACTGATTGAAACACTAAGGACTTCGATGAGAGCTCATCCTTTTGAACTTCTAAAAAAAGTTAACATACACGCCAAGTGTCCCAATTTTCCAGGGATAGTCCTGGAATTATGAAAGCCATCCCGGCTTCTGATTTGATCCTGGCATGTCGCTGTTTCCCTTGCCAGCACTGCCACCACTGAGCTCAGGGAAGAGGATGAGCCAGCACTTGTCCTGAGCAGCGGTGGCTGTGCAGGAGCATCCCGTTTTATCTCCATGGCCTCTCCACTGTAGCAGCTGCTGGAGAACGGGAGAGGAGGGGAGACGTTGCTGCTACTGAGGCCCAGCACTGGCTCTCCGGGGCAGGTAGAGGGCAAGGCAGTTCTGGGCGGAAAGAAATGGGGAGCCTAAGGAGCACAAGGAGTCTTGGTTGTTGTTTTTTTTAAGCTTTGTGTACACATCTAATCTTGCCCCTTTCTAAAATTTATCAGTGTGTGTTTTACTTTTTATAAATCTACCAAAGAATAAAATAATCAGAATTAAGGGTTTTCTCAGGATTGTGGAGGGGGGTGTGCTGTGTCCCATTGGTACAGCGGTGGCGACACTTGCCTTTCTCCTGCTAGGAAATGTTCTATGGGGGTGGGGAGCAAAAAATGGGGGGGGGGTGAGGAGGCTTAGTTGTTTGGGTGAGAAAGGTCCCTATTTTCATCAGAGAAACGTCAGAGGGTATGTGTTAATGTTTGGGTAGTACCGTATTGGCCTGAATATAAGCCGCACCTTTAAAATTGGAGAGGGGGGAGGGAAAAAGAAAAAAAATACCTGAATATAAGCGGCTCCATTCCTTGTTGCTCCTGGCTGCATACTGGGCGGGTGGGGGGGAGCCACGCTGTGTTGCTGGCGGCCTTTCCCCTTCCTAGACTTGGGGGAGAGGACAAGAGACTACGCACAGGGCGCTTCATTGCGCTCCTGGTGCTGTTTGCCCTGTGCTCCTGGCTGCATACCGTAAGGTCGCAAATATAAGCTGCACTTTAACTTTTCGCAGTCAGAATTTGGGGGAAAGGTGAGGCTTATATTTAGGCGAATATGGTATATGTCAGGCATAGGCAAACTCGGCCCTCCAGATGTTTTGAGACTACATTTCCCATCATCCCTGACCACTCATCCTGTTAGCTAGGAATAATTGGGGTTGTAGTTTCAAAACATTTGGAGCGCCGAGTTTGCCTATGCCTGGTATATGTTGTCTGAAACAATAAACCTTTAGCTCTAGTCCTCTTCTGATGCTCAGTTTGAATGTGCAAAGGGGCAAGCATAAGTGGGCAGACACTAAAACACTGCACCTCAATGTCCCTAAATGACAGGTGCGCTCTCTGGCCAGTGAGTGGTCAGCATGAGCCAGAAGGCGAGTGGCTCATTTGCACATAGGATTTCCAACACAGATGGAAGCGCTAGTCAATCAGGGTTCCCATCCTGTGTTGGAGACCCAACCCAAGTAAGGCAGCCACTCCAAGCACACATCAGGCAGGGACCATGTCCAGTATATGTAGTACTATTAAGGGAAAGGGGGCTTGCCCTACAAATTCCTGTGTGCCCCTTTGTGCATTCAGACTTATCATCTGAAGGCAGCTCATGCTGCAGGAAAACGTAGTTATTTTGACATATGGATACTTGTTTGAGAAATTGCACCATTGTTAACAAAAATAGTTTTGGAATCTCCTTCAGTATTTTGACCAATAGCTCCAAATTTGCTTTCCCCAAAATTCAGTAACCTTTGTGATTTTGACAATAACGTTTGCCAAATGTTTAGCTAGGTTTCTGGTTAGCATTATGCTATGGGTGTCTCATGGACTTGATAAAAAATGATAGTTCCTATTTCCCTCCACGTAATGTTAGAAGGGTACTCTCTAGCTGTTGGCTGGATACGCCACAGCAGGAGCCCGTTCAAACAGAAGCAGCAAATGTTCCAAAGCTGACCTTACAGTCTGCTGCTGTTACCCTCCTATCCTCTGATCCTTCTCATGTGTTCCCACTCGCCTGCTTATAGAAGCAGTTGATCATACACCAAACAAATTAGCACAAAGATCAAAAGAGTATAATTCCGTCTTAAATTAATTCTCATGTGGCATAATCAGAAGGAAAGGCTGAAATGTACGCTCAGGCACATCTCATGAGCATTTATTTCTGTTTTCTGTTTTCTTCTCCACTGGCCAGCCAAGCTCCAATGTAACATAAGCTGCTGGGCTTTCATGTTTGATTATGTAAGATATCAGTTGGTATCTGAATTTGTTTGTGCTCCTCTTCCCTTCCCTTCTATGCCCACTCCTTTTTCTTTATATATCACAACTCTTCAACTGGAAGCCATTATTAAAAATGGAGGACCACCATGACTGCACTGGCAGGAAGGATGGCAACTAAGGCTGCAACCCCAGTTACCTGTGAGTAACACCAAGTGAACTCAGTTGGACTTACATCTGAACGGAAATGGTTAGGAACGCACCGTTAGAAAGTAAACGTCTTCCACAGGAAATATCCAAGTGTCTGGTGAAAGTTGTGTAGGCCTTTTATGAAATGGCCTTGAACTTTTTGTCATAGGTGGCAGCTCTCTTGGTTAAGGGTCACAGCTAACCTGGCACCTTCCAACTGTCGTGGACTACAACTCTTAAACATCCAAAATACCTGGAGGGCACCAGGTTGGCAAAGGCTGGGCTACAGGGATGCATCTTCTGGTACAAGGGTTTCTGGGCAGCGAATCAAATCATTACAGATTATTAATTTGGTTCCAGTTCAGGTACAGCTGTGACTGCAGTTCTGGTTTGATTCTGCTTCAGGCCAATAAAGGCCGAGTAGATGCCTGAATAGATTCAGTTCTTCTTCCTGAGGAGAAATGTAAATATAATTCACATGACTGTGCCTATTTGCATATGCCATGCAGTGATTAATGTCACAGAGATATTGTACCCTAATCTCAGTACTAGATGGTTAATCACACCAGACAGAAAAGCCTGTACAGGACGTTGGAAAAGAGCTAGGAGAGCAATGGGGAAGAAATGCAGGAACTGTTTGCTGATTCCAGATTAGAACCCCTTCTTGAAAGACAAAATGGAATGCATATAGAAAGATCAAACAAAAGATACATATTGATCAATTGCATCCACCTCCATGCCAGCAGATTCCCTCCTTAAGGTTTAGAACCCCTTTGAGAGGCCAAGAAGGTTTGGGTGATATGCGTGCAAAAATAATAATAATAATAAATAATTTATTATTTATACCCCACCCATCTGGCTGGGTTTCCCTAGCCACTCCGGGCAGCTTCCAACAAAATATTAAAATACAATAGTGCTTCCCTAAACAGGGCTGCCTTCAGATGTCTTCTAAAAGTCTGGTAATTGTTTTTCTCTTTGAAATCTGGTGGGAGGGCATTCCACAGGGCGGGTCACACTACCAAGAAGGCCCTCTGCCTGGTTCCCTGTAACTTGGCTTCTCACAGCGAGGGAACCACAAGAAGGCCCTTGGGGCCAGACCTCAGTGTCTGGGCAGAACGATGGGGGTGGAGACGCTCCTTCAGGTATACTGGACGGAGGCCGTTTAGGGCTTTAAAGGTCAGCACCAACAGTTTGAATTGTGCCCAGAAACGTACTGGGAGTCAATGTAGGTCTTTCAAGACTGGTGTTATGTGGTCTCGGCGGCCGCTCCCAGTCACCAGTCTAGCTGCTACATTCTGGATTAGTTGTAGTTTCCGGGTCACCTTCAAAGGTAGCCGCACATAGAGCGCATTGCAGTAGTCCAAGCAAGAGATAACTAGAGCATGCACCACTCTGGCAAGACAGTCCACGGGAAGGGTTTCAGCCTGCGTACCAGATGGAGCTGGTAAACAGCTGCCTTGGACGCAGAATTGACCTGCACCTCCATGGACAGCTGCGAGTCCAAAATGACTCCCAGGCTGGCACCTGGTCCTTTAGGGGCACAGTTACTCCATTCAGGACCAGGGAGTCCTCCACACCTGCCGGCTTCCTGTCCCCCCAAAAACCGTACTTCTGTCTTGTCAGGATTCAACCTCAATCTGTTATCTGCCATCCATCCTCCAACCGCCTCCAGACACTCACACAGGACCTTCACTGTCTTCACTGGTTCTGATTTGAAAGAGAGGTAGATGAACACCCAGCCCAAACCCCCTGATGGTCTCTCCCAGTGGCTGCATGTAGATGTTAAAAAGCATGGGGGAGAGGACAGAACCCTGAGGCACCCCACAAGTGAGAGCCCAGGGGTCTGAACACTCATCCCCCCAACACCACTTTCTGAACACAGCCCAGGAGGAAGGAGTGGAACCAAGGGAGATTAGGAACCAATTGCCCCATCAAGGAACCACGTGACAGTAGTGGCTAACTTGCAAGGAGACTATGGAATCAGAGGTGTCCCTAGACAGGGGGAAAGGGCAGGAGACATGTTCTTTCCCAGACAAATAGCCTGGGAAAGTTATACATAGACATTATAATTGAATAATCTTCTGGAAATTGAAATAAGACTCCAACCCTAATAATGGTTCCTTGAAAGCCAATGCAGTCAAAACCAACAGGACTTACTTCAGAGGAAATATGTTGAGGATTAGAGCCAAAATGTGAAATATTCCATTATTTCTCTTTCAGGAATCTAACACAAGGGATAAAGCTGGCTTCTTGTAGTGTGATTAGGGATGTCAGAGAATTCCAACAAAAAATGGAGGAGGAAGCAGAAATTGCTGCAATTCATGTGTTTGCTTGCCATCAGGAATAGAAATTAGTCAAGTGAATAGGACGACATTCATTTACATTGCTGCTGGTGGTTATTTTAATTCTGCAAATAATACATAGTTGATCACAGGGATTTAGATTATCTTCACATTTCCTTTGCACTGAAATGAATGTAAGTTACCTAAGTTCTATGCCATGGAACAGAAGCTGAGGCGTTCATCCAACAAGTGACACCCACCTTGCACCTTCCTTAGGAAGAGTGGTGTGGGCTCAGCTCTTTGTGCAGCAAGGGGCCAGAGTCCTGGGACTCAGCCAGCAAACAGGCACTCCTTTGAGTGGCTTAGCTCTGTGAGGTTTGCTCACACCATTGCACCAGTTTGCCAGAAGAAGGTGGCTCCTCACTGAGAGGAGGAGGGGTTAGGCTAGGAACGTTCCTTTGACAATCTACTTGGAATGGGAGTTTCAGACCCTAAGGAGGGACCAAGACCTCCCTCAGCATCTGAAACTTCTTGGGACCCCAATTCCACCATCCCCATCCCACTGGGACCTTCCCAATGATTCTCCAATTCCCCATCTCCTCCCACTCCTCCTTTGGGTCGGACCATCCCCTCCTTGACATCTCATGAGCCTCATGAAATTGACAGGGGTAGTCCCTTAAATGAAACAGGAATTGTTAGGCCTTTTCTTCTTAATCACATTGAAGCCATGCCAATAATAAGACCTGCCTTCACACAGCTTCTCAAGCTAGCAGCTGCATCCATTTCTAGATAAAGACACATCATTTTCACATTTCTTTCCAGCACATTTCTTACACAGGGGCCAAGCGCTACATAACAAAATGACTTGTCAGCAACCCTTTTGCAAGCCCAGCGTGCAGTTATATGGTCAGGCTCCAAGAGTCTGAAATAAGGATTTAATTTTTATGTAATGAGATGGGTTCAGGATCCTAATTAAATACAAAATTGATGATTAAAATATATTTAGCTTTAACAACTGTGCCATAAGAGATGCATTTATTACAAAGCTGTTGAACCTCAGTGGCTGTGTTCTCAATCAATTAGCAGCTATTTCATGTTCAATAACTGAAGCCAACCCAGTTTAATTAAACATAAAGTTCAGGCTATGTAGGACACTGTATAAACTGCTTCCTCCCTACTCCCTGCCCCCACCATGCCTTCTTAACACAAAAACTTCTACACAGCCCTGACATTATTTTGAATGAAACGTGATTTAACGTGCTGGGCTTGCTTTGAAAGAAGGACCCCTAAAGAATCGCTATAGGTAGTTAATTCGATCGAATGGCAAGATTTCTGCGCTGCACCTCCATGTCTATCACTGATAAAATTGTGGGTGGGATGATATGCTTAATTAACCCTGTAATTCTTAACATGTGGGCTAATTAGCATATAAATTAGGGTTTCCTTTGGATTATGTGCCTGATGCAGGAGTCTCTTCTATGCAATTTAGTCCTCTGGCAGGAAGATAGTGCGGCTTCTCACACGGGTAGATTACATTAATATTCAAATAGTGCAAGTGTTCCTTTCTACCTTGCTAACCAATCATCTCTTCCATAGAGTTTACTGATGCAGAAGCCCACATTCTGGAAAATCTATGCCTTTATGCATTTAAGCCTGTAACGACTAGGAACGTTTCTGATTACTGGAATGATTTAAAAGCTTCTCGCTTTACATGCCATTTCAATGTCCTCTCAAAACCCAGCAGGATTCCAGTACCCGTTCGCTTGCATTACTGCCTAAAATCACAGACCTACTAGTACTTAATACTTTTATTCCTGCATAGGGACATCAGGGTACAGATATGTTCCTGCATAGGGACATCAGGGTACAGCCAGATCAAAGCAATGTCCCATCAAGCCCATTCTGCATAGCTGTCAAGTGTCCCTTATTTGAAGGGACAGTCCCTTATTCCAGTGCCATGTCCCGCTGCTGTCTGTGCTGGTCCCGGGGGGAAGGTTATATCGTAGTCAAAGTTCAGTCCTGAGTCACTAGCCTGGTAATAGTCCACAAGGTGTGAGGCGAGGTCCGAAACAGGGAGCCGGGCGGAGACAGGAACACTCGAAGATCAGAAGCAGGAAGCCGGGCGGGTAACAGGAACGCTGGAAGGTCAGAAGCAGGAAGCCGGGCGGGAAACAGGAACACTGGAGGAAAAGGACTGGATGCTGGCCGAAACAGCTCTTCAATAACGACATTGCTCCCGCAACCTGGGACCGGGCTGACTGGCCTTTATCTCCTCTAAGGCCAGGGGCGGTCCCGGCCCCCAGGAGCCCCGCCTCTCCTGGCCTTAAGGCGAGCACTCCTCCTTGGAGAAACCAGTTCCCTTCACCTCTCTGCCCTAAGCCTCTGCAGTTCAGGAGAGGCCGAAGGGTTACTGGGCCCCGGGGGAGGCTCACCTGTAGACACTGAGTCCTCAAGCACCTCTGGGGCCAGAATGGTTTCACCTGGTGCCTGCTCCTGAGGATCTGGCACAGGTGCAGGCTCCTCAGAATCTAGGCCTTGCCCCAGTTCAGCCGGCCCTGGAGGCGGGGACTCCTGTGCCGGCTGGGATTCCTCCGGTTCGCTCTCAGAATCGGAATCCCAGGCCATCACACTGTCCCTTATTGATGGATGTCCCTTAAATGTCCCTTAAATGATGTCCCTTAAATTTCAAAGGAAGCAGCTCCTCTCCCTCCCTCCCTGCCGGCCAGGGAGGCGGGAGGCTCCAACTGTGTTGCTTGGCTGCTTTGCTCACCCAATAAGAAGTCTAAAAATGACTGGGGGGTGGAGCTTGTATGCCATGTGTGTGGCTAGTTAATGCAAGCTGAGGGGTTTTTTGAATGCTGGATGCCATTTTGTTGTACGTGCTGCTGCAAACTTTGCAGTGCAAAGCCAGAGCCATCTTAAGTTGAGGCTGCATAGACCTTGTGGTGCATGTGATTCAGATTCTATTCAGTTGAACCTCTGGTTACAAAGTTGGTTGGACAGTGTTCTCGAAGCTACCAGCATGAGTTTGACCAGACTGCAGGAGGACAGGAAGACTGGAGTGCCTGGAAGAGGTGAGGCTGCAGGTCCCTTATTTTGGCTGCTGGTCCCTTATTTTCAAGGCTGCTGGTCCCTTATTTTCAAATCTGTAAGTTGACAGCTATGCCATTCTGTCCCATCAGCATCCTGCTCCCACAATGACCAGCCAGATGCCTAAGGGAAGCCCACAAGCAGGATATGAGCACAAGAACTATCTCCCCACTTGCGATTCCCAGCGAGTGGCATTCAGTGGCATGCTGCTTCCAACACAGGTCTTCGAACTGAACTGCATTCGGACCTGCCAAAATGTAGCTTCCTCAGCACTCTAAATATAGACCCTAGATCATTGGGTCATAGGAATTCAGGAAGCTGCCTTATACCAAGTCAGATCATCTGGCTCAATGTTGTCTGCCCTGAGCATCTCTCCAGGGTCTCAGACCGAGGCCTCATGAAGCTCTGCTTGAAGATGCCAGGGATCAAACCTGTGACGTTCTGCATGCAACAGAGATGTTCTAACCCAGGGGTCAGCAAACTTTTCCAGCAGGGGGCTGGTCCACTGTCCCTCAGACCTTGTGGGGGGCCGGACTATATTTGGGGGGGGTGAACGAATTCCTATGCCCCACAAATAACCCAGAGATGCATTTTAAATAAAAGGACACATTCCACTCATGTAAAAACACACTGATTTCCAGACCGTCTGCGGGCCGGATTTAGGAGGTGATTGGGCCGGATCCGGCCACTGGGCCTTAGTTTGCCTACCCATGTTCTAACCCACTAGCCTCTGGCCCTTTCCCAATGAAATGCACAATCCTACAGTCCTACAATCCTGCACAGGAGCCATAGGATATTGCATACCTCTACTATGAAACTAAGGAAGCTTCAGCTTCAGGGCCCCCTAATCCCGGAGGGGCCCCAGAAGTGACTCTAGTCTACATTGCTTAAAATTTTGGGGTCTATTAGACGCAGCGAGAGTCACACAACTCAAAAACTATAAGGTGTAGGAAATTTTTGTGCACACCAGAGACTTTGACATGTGAGATAATCCAGTACAGCAATTCTAATCAAGATCTGAGGTGTTGTAGTTAACTTAAAAATGGCTGGTGATCTGTCATGCAGCAATCCCATTGGAGAAGGTAACATTGGTTACCCAGACCTCATTACTAGTTGCAAATTCAAGCTGCTGGAACCCAAAAATGTAAGTCCGCCACTGCTCTGCGGACAGAGAGAAAGATCTGCCTCTCAGCTGCCACCACACAAACCTCCTCAGCAGCCCCATCTCCTTCCTCAGAGCTTTGATGGCAGGAGAGGGAGGGGCGCAATACTACGCTCCTTGCAATTGAGGCATATGCCACAACTAGGTTGGCAGCACTTATCTTTTTCCATACTTCCAGATCTTTATACCTTATCAAACAATCGCTTAATCTGCATAGTAATCTCCTTCCGAGTAGGGCTTCCTTCAAATCTAACCTCCACAGAGCTGTCTTCCTCTTATTTCCATCCACTCTGAGGTGGCCTAGCTTTCTAAAATACACAACGGCCTCAAGAGGGAATTTGAATTCTGCCCCAGCTTCTGCATTGGGGTGAGCAGAAAAGCTGCTGAAAGTATCTTTAATCCCTCCCACACAGACATACACACACACCTCCCACTTGCCTGCCATCAAAACCAAGAATTGCATATTTTGCATATAATTGGCCCCAGGCACGCTTATGAAAGTGGGGAATAGAAAAGTACAGTTCTTCTCACTTATAATGTATCCTGCACAGTATCCTGCTCTTACTTATCTAAGGGTGCATTCATATATTAGAGTACATTAAATAATTTCACAGGGAAAATTACCATGGAAATTGTGAAACTCTACTGCACTCAGGGAAATAAATCCTTGAATAATTATTCAGCAGAAGTACTTCTGGCAACCTGCCTTCATCGGCAAAAATTCAAACATGTGAAAAAGTGGAAAATACATTTTCTTCATTTTCAACCCAAAGCACGGTATTTATTTATTTATTATTTGCTGTATTTAGAAACCACTTTTCAACACACTGCAGCCACAAAGCACTTTCCAATGTGACCAATAAAATAACACAGCATTTACAAACATAAAACACAATTAAAAGGATCATAAATTAGCAACAGTGCAGTGCTTCTGCACAATAAATAAAGAAATTGTAAGCTCCAGAGCAAGCTTAGCCAAATCTTCAAAATGCATGGGAGAACAGAGAGGCTTTGATTAGGCTATGGAAATTTATCTGTGGTTTAGCCATCCATACTTCCAAGTGGAGAGTATTCCATAGGTGGGG